GTAGCCAGCTGACTGGCCAAATGAAGAAGTAAGTCTCAGTATGTAGAACTTATCTTTTAAGTTGCATTCCCTTTTCTTTTTGGTGGTGCTGGGGATTGAACCCAGGGCCTTGTGCATTCGAGGCAGGCACTCTACAAACTGAGCTATCTCCCCAGCCCCCCAAGTTGCACTCCCTTTTACAGGTGCCAATTTTCAAGGCACAAAATAAATTCACACACATCAAGAAAATATTGGGGGCTGGGGATGTGGCTCAAGCGGTAGTGCGCTTGCCTGGCATGCGTGCGGCCAGGGTTCGATCCTCAACACCACATACAAACAAAGATGTTGTGTCTGCCAAAAACTAAAAAATAAAAATTAAAAAATTTCTCTCTCTCTCTCTCTCTAAAGAAAAAAAGAAAATATTGGGCACTACATTTAAATAAATAATTGATCCCTCCCCATAAAAGTGAAGACCACCGAATCCTTTGCTTCTGTACACATTATTCCTACTAATTATTCCTTACTAGATTTGATATGTTTTGGCTTGACAATATTAAGGTCACTGAAGGACCTTAATGGACTCACCAAAACACACACAGCAAGACACCAAGACTCCTAGTAATGAAGCTTCTTTCTATGTGCCCCAGTTCAAGCAGTAAAAGGATTTTACAGATTTCTCTAAATGTAGTACACTACTAATGGTGATCTACTTCAGTATCTCTTTGTGGAATAATATTTAAAGAACAAAATAGCATACATTAAAAGACTCCAAATACAACTTTTATAATTCTTAAAGTGTTTTAATAATGCAATTTATAAACAGAATTTAGAAGAACTTCTGCTAATAATTTTTCTAATTCAGCTCTTAGCATCTCAACAGGATTTATAATCATTGGAAATCATCTTGAAAAGAACATAAAAACTTGTGGCAGCAAAGCTCTCCCTGTCCCAATGTGTGTGGGAGAAACAGAAACACAAAGACAGACAGACACACACACACACACACACACAGCACACACGGGACTAAGAATGCATCCAGAAAACTCAAGCTTCTCGAACTGTTCTGGGGAAGAGTGGAGTCTGCCTTCCCCAATGGCCGGCAGCAGGAGATGGATGACTCCTCTAACAGCCGGCCTGTTCTGTGCCACTTTGTCTCTTTGCATGTGGCATTAATGCTGCTTTTACTGAAGATCTACTGAACTCTTTTATCAACTTATTGCAGATTTTTTTTTCAGGAGAGTGGAACTATGAAACATGATAATGAAAGTAAAACTATTTGTGGAATTTGGAAATCAGATTTTGTTCTGAGTTTATAACCGCTTTTAAGATACACAGTTTCATAGTTCCATTGTAACATTTTTTTTATTATTGTGAAATTGTTAAAATTTAAAGTATCACAATATTGCAAAACTTTATGTTGCTACTATGGTGACTAGAACCCTAGTCAGAATCACACAACCTGTTACAAATGGTATACTTGCACTTGAAACAGAAGGAAATCGTTACTGATGATGTATCAGTGTTTAAAGTGAAATTGGACAAAGAAAAACACCCATTTCCCAGACTTCTAAAAAGTGGCCTTTATTCTGTCAGAGAGTATATCAAGGTTGAAAAATGGTTTGAAAGTTGCCAGGCACAGTGGCACACGCCCATAATCCCAGCAGCTTGGGAGGCTGAAGCAGGAGGATCACAAGTTCAAAGCCAGCCTCAGCAACAACAAGGTCCTCAGCAACTCAGAGAGACCCTATCTCTAAGTAAAATATATTTTTTAGGTCTGAAAATAGAAAAAGCACCCCCAATAGTCCCAAGCACACACACAAGACTGAAGACATGTTAGTTTGTGTTCCCCTCCTTCTTCCTGAACTTAAATATGAAGTAGCGGACCTCAAGGGGCCGAGGCAGCTCGCCTGGGATCCCACAGATGTCGGTGGCAGGGCACTTTCTACAGAGCCAACTTTAATGCCTGGGACTTTCCCCTGCACCATGGTTGGTCTCCACTGAATGACATGTGATGACACCTGTAATTGTGCCCCCAATTTTAATATTTTTGCATGTTTGTCTGCAGCTTTTGTTCAAATCAAACTTTATGTAAAAGTAAATTCTTTCTGAAGCCTGGGTACTTTTTTATCTAAAATTTCTTTAATACTATGCAGCATGAACAGAAAATTAGGTTTGGAAATAACTCCCACTAAAGCAGAAAGGCTGCACTAGAAGCGAGTAATGGGAGACGGTTCAAAGCCTCACAAAAGACACACAAATCCCCCAGCACCGTCATCAACCCCAACAGAGGCTGAAAGAGACGGGCATCAGCAACAGTACTGGCAATGGGTTGTTCTTAGGGATGAAATGTCATGGACAATTGTTTTCTTCAGAGCAGAGAGTGGGCTTCTAAATAGTGCTCAGGGGAGTTCCATTGCTCACCACTGGTTTGTTCTGGGATCAGTACTTTTCACAGAAGAATTGGGCAATTACCAAGAATGGCAGTAAAATAAGCACTTATAGGTAGTTTCTCCCCCACAGAGTTCTAGAGTCACATTTAATGCTTGAAATTAATAACTTATTATGAAAACTCCTTTTTACTGTTTCATTTCTCTGTGACTTTATTTTATATTAATTTATTTACTCTCTTGGGGTACTTTTTCTTTGAAATTCTGTTCAAGATTCTTTGATTTTTTTTTTTTAAACCAGGAATTGAACCTGGGGCACTTAACTCACATCCCCAGCCCTTTTTATGTTTTGAGACAGGGTTTCACGGAGTTGCTTAGGGGCTCACTAATTTATTGTCATTTGAACTCATGATCCTCCTGCCTCAGCCTCCTCAGTCACTGGGTTACAGGCTTGGGGCCTGGCTTGGTTCAAGATTCTATGTAAGTAAACTCATGGGAAAGTTCTGGAAGGACAAAGACCAAACTTAAAAGCTAATAATCTCTGTGAAAGGGAAGCTGGTATCCACCCCCAGGGATGGGGTGGAAAGGACTCAGTATCATGTTCAACTTGTACACCAAAGTTGTCCTTAAGGAACAGCTTTTACTGGAGACCTCAAATTTATGAAGAAAACAAAAAAATACAGGTTTCAACTTCAGGCCTCTGGGTTCCGATTTCACACAAGCCCTAGGAGACACATGTTCTCCTGGGTATTTCTGGTCCTGAGGCCCTGGATGCCTTCGCCTTTCATATGTTACTGACACGTAAACAAACCCTTAAGCATCAATCAACTAACAATAATAATGCCATAAAAAACCTGTAAAAGAGAAAAAACAGATGACTTTGAAACAGCCCTGGAATTCCCCTCACTTTCTGAACCGGGCCCACTGTGGCTGGACTACCGCACAACCAAGGGCTTTGTGGAGCAAGGGCTTTTCAAAGCGTGGCAGGCAACTCGCTCGCTCAAAGCCAAAAATGGAAAAGGAAAAATCCGTGTATTTTAGGACAGAGTGAGGGTGTGTGCCTAGTGGCATGGTCTATTTTTAGGAGTTATATTGGGAAACTTCCTCTCTGGATGAGTGGAGGGGGGGGAAGTAATAGAAGGGTAACTACATGACTTACTTCATTCTTAAAATAACTCTCCAACCTGAAGTGGGGAATGTCTTCAACAACCAGGAGTTTTCGTCTCAAAGGCTTACTTCCACATTCATACCCCTAACTAAAAAGTTTCCTAGAAGATTTTATGGCTTATTTTTGATTCATAAATATTAAGTCTGCACCATTTCAAACTGCACTGGGAGCAAATAAAGAATAAACTTAAGGCATGGACAGACCCCAAGTCTGCTACCCTACCCCTGGAAAGGGGATTCCAGCTTTCAGATAACTCCCAGGATGTGCTGTTCAGAGGGATAACATACATCAATTCTGCCACCTACCACAAGTGACAGTTTATCCACATTTCCCCCGGACATTGTTCATGACTTTGATATGCTTAAAAAATAAACAGCAAACAATGCTGTGGCATTTATGTCAGAGGAATAAATGTCTACTGCCAAATTCTAAATTCACCACTGATACAAGTATTCTTAACCCTTGATTTAAATCTCCTGGGGAGAAGAGGGGTATGAATTTGCTAGGAAGAAGAGAGTTCCTGAATAAAAAATAGCTTTCTATTTGTCAGGGATCTTCTTCAATCTGGCCTATGAAGAGAAAGCTAGAAACAATTCTTCATCTGGCAAGAACAAGCTGGGCACAGTGGCACATGTGTGTATCACAGGTACTGGGGAGGCTGAGGTAGGAGGATCACAAGCTTGAGGCCAGCCTCGATAACTTAGTGAGACCCCGGCTCAAAATAGAAATAAATAAAAAGGGGCTGGAGGGCTGCAGCTGTAACTCAGTGGCAAAGTGCTTGCCTAGCATGTGTGAGGCACTGGGTTCGACCCTCAGCACCACTTAAAAATAAACAAAATAAAGGCATGCTGTCCATCTACAACTACAAAAAGGGAATGGAGGGCTGGAGATGGATTCAGTCGCCAATGAGTCCCCTTTCCTCCCCACCAAAAAAAAAAAAAACCTCAGCAAGAACAATCATAGGGTCATGGGTAATTGCTCTTGTTTTATAATTCCATTTAACAAAATATGATTAAAGTTGTTTTTATAGAAAACTCCTTTTTATTCCCTGAAAAGTAGAAAATGAAATAGAAAAAGTTGAATGAACAGTATTCAGCGTTCTAAAAGTGCCATTCTGATCTTCATGTTTAGCACATTTTAGACGAAGAAAATGTGTGCGGAGACCTTCTCCATTGCTCCAGGCTTCCAGTGGAGTGCAAGGATTCCTCTGTAATCGCGCTAAAATGTAGCTCCTGAGAAACTTAAGGTGCACAAGAGGCTGCAAACAGACTGAGCGGACACGGCAGTTCTCTGACCGTAGGTTGTCCATGATACGACACACGATAAAGCTGTCCACAAACCAGCAGGACTTTAATAAAGTACACTTCCTTGAAATGCAATCAAAGTGAAGGATGGGAAAGGATGAAACTGAAAGACAGTAGCATACTCTCAATTTAAATTGATCCCAGACTACGACCATGTCTTACCTTTTCAGGTCAACAGTTGTGACGCTAAATACAACTCCTTTGAGCCAAAGAATCATGAAGAGCCTCTGGGAAAAGGGGCAGTTTCCTATGCTTTCCCCATCACTGCCGGCCTGAAAGCAGAAAGAAACATTAAAAACGAGGTCAGCATGAGGATTCGCAAAACGACAGGGCTTTCTGTGGATTCCCATCAAAGCTACCAGAAGACAGGGCCAGGTGCGTTCTGGAAAGAAAGATTACTCGGGTCTTTCATTTGCCTCCTTCTCTTATGAGAAACGAGCAGCCCAGCAGGGCACATGGCACACACCTGAATCCCAGCGACTCAGGAGGCTGAGGTGGGAGCACTGCAGTTTTGAGGCCAGCCTCAGCAACTTAGAGATCCAGTCTCAAATAAAGAAATAAAAAGACTGAGAACGTAAAGTGCCCTTGGGTTTAATCCCCAGTACCAAAAAAAATTTTTTTTTTCATTATAAAAATCCTATATACTCTCTTACACATTCCTTCAGAAAGCAAGAAAATAACAAAAGATGCCTTTGTCATAAGCTATTTATAAACTTTTTAATGGATGGAGCAGCTGACTTTTCTAAGCTCAAGAATGAGGTAGAATTTTCCCAAAAATCTGAGTGGGACATATTTCCCTCATTTCATCAGGTTTGCCCCAACTTGAAAAGGAGACAAGAAAACATTCTGACATTTGCTAGGCATCAACACAGCCTCTTTATTATGAAGTCTATAAAGAGTTCCAAAAATAACTCTTCAACAAGGCATTCAAAGACGCTGGTGAGTCAGGAGGTGATGCGGGCCTGTGATCCCAGGGGCTCAGGAGCCTGAGGCAGCCTCAGCAACTTAGCAAGGCCCCAAGCAACTCAGGGAGACCCTGTCTCTAAATAAAATATTACGGGGGGCGGGATGGGGGGCATGACTGGGAATGTGGCTCAGTGGTAGTGCGCTCACCTAGCATGCATGAGGCACTGGGTTCGATCCTCAGCACCACATAAACATGAAGTAAAGATATAATGACCAGCTATAACTAGAAAATAAATATTTTTTAAAAAGTACTTCTTACTATCCTACTTAAATCCAGCTCAGAAAATTCAGAAGCATTTCAGTAAAATGCTCCATCCACAATAAGCCATTAATTCTTTAATGGGAATGAAGTACTTTGTTTCCAACTTAGTGTATCAACCTTCTGGAGGCTTATGCCGGGGGCCATGATCACCTCAGATGGCAAGGACACAGGACCTTTAGAAGCAGAAATCCTGCCGACCAGTAACAGGGGCCCCTCCCACTTCCTCCCTCCCTGCTGGGTGGGGTCACAGGAGGCCTAGTGGAGAGACTTTGATCACCAAGCAGCAGTAGTGAGGCCACCTCTGCTGCAGTATCAGGGAGGCCTCGTGGGGAAGTGGACTCTCACCCGTGCCCAGCAGTAATGAGGTGCCTCCACTTTGAGCATCAGTGGAGACCCACGGGGACACCTGGATTTCCACCTTCATGTGTCTGTAACAAGGCAATGATGTCCCCACCCCCCTCACCCTATATCTCTCTCCATCAGAAAAGTTGAAACACAGGGTTAAACAAAACCCAGGGTCTTGTAATATGAAACCGCCAGGGTTTCCACTGAAAGTCACCTAAAAAGCCAAACACCAAACACCATCTCTGAGTGAGAAAAGGTAATCAGCAGCTGCCAGCACCAAGAAGACAGAGATGTCAGAACATCCGACAAAGCGTCTCTCTGAAGTGGTGTGATGAAAAATATTTCAATGAGCAACTATCAGCAGCTTGAGCTTGAAAAAAACCACAAGCGGAGAAATACAAGATGGAAAAAATGCAGTAGCTGAAATAAAAGGGTGACCAGGGGACCCTGACCTCCCACTTTCTCCACAGCTCCCTGGCCCTGAGCAGATTGTTTGGTCACTTCCAGCAAGTGCCACCCAGCAGGCCCACCAGATTCCCAAAGCAACGGGTCTGCCTGATCCTGGACTAGAACCTCCAAACTCTGATCCAAAATAAAAATTCTCTTTTTATAAGTCAATCATTCCAGGTATTTTGTTGCAGTGATGGAAAGTTCACTAACATAGACTCAGAGCCCAGTGGAGGGAGAGAGGGAGAATCAACGAGCTGAGAATCACCCAGTGAGCAGCACTCATCCATAAACAAGAAGGAAGTGACGTCATCTCAGGAAAAGGGAGAGAACCGGAGAACATCATGCTGAGTGAAAGAAGTCAGGCTCAAAAGTCAAGGGTCGAATGTTTTCCCTCATGTGCAGAAGCTAGAGAGAGAGAAAAGAAATAGAAGGGAAAGTAGAGAGGACAGGAAAGACATCAAGGGGAGGGAGAGAAAGGGAAAGAGCTGAGGAATAAAATCAACCAAATTATACATGCATGTACCACAGCCGTTATGAATCCTCTTTCATGTATAAACACAATGCACCAAGGTGGGGAAGTGCGTGTGAGTAAACAGAGGGAGGACCAGAGGAATAGAGGAAGGAGAACTGGAGGAGGCAAGGGGGAGGGAAAGGAGAAACACTAGGGAATGGACTGGAATAATTATGTTATGTACATACATGCCACAATGAACCCCACTATTATCTATAATTAAAACACACTAATAAATACATTTTTAAAAATTACCTGGTGTAGCCAGGTGCAGTGGCACACAATAGTAATCCCAACAACTCAGGAGGCTGAGGCAAGAGGATTTCAAGTTTGAGACCAGCCTCAGCAACTTAGTGAGAATCTGTCTCAAAATAAATAGGACTGGGGATGTAACTAAATGGAAAAGCATTCTTGAGTTCAATCCCCAGTACAAAAAAATTCTTTACTCAGTGTAAGCAACAGAAAAAAAGTAGGCTGAAAATTGAATACTTCTTATATATTCCCATGTTTTGTTTGTTTGTTTGTTTGTTTGTTGAGGAGGCGTACTGGGGGGATTGGACTCAGGAACTCTTGACCACTGAGCCACATCCCCAGCCCTATTTTGTATTTCATTTAGAGACAGGGTCTCACTGAGTTGCTTAGCACCTCACTAAGTTGCTGAGGCTGGCTTTGAACTTCCAATCCTCCTACTTCAGGTTCCCGAGCCCCGCTGGGATTACGGGTGTGTGCCTCCACGCCCCACTATTCCCATGTTTTGATGTCCACATCTCTCACTTGTGAAGCTTTCCTTGTATGCCGCTGGCCCAACAATTAGACATCTAGAAATTTAACCTGGTAGAAACACTTACACTGATGTCCAAAGATACTCATCTCTTGTGATTGAAGCATGTTTCTAACAGAAAGCCTCCCCCGCCCCCCAAGACCATCAGGAAAGGCTCTGCTCAAACAGATCAGCACCCAGGGCCGCACCTAGGCCACTGGTTCAGCCTGCGGCATATGGGCGAGGATTGAGCCACCACATCCCACTGTGGAGTCTGGAGCACCGTGATCATGGTCTAAAACTTCAGCCTCACTTAGGTTTTCCTTTATTTAGTGGTAGATGGACATAACACCTTTATTTTTATGCAGTGCTGAGGATCAAACCCAGTGCCTCACACGTGCTAGGCAAGCACTCCAGCACTGAGCCACAACCCCAGCCCCTAGGTTTTCCCTTTCTTGAATCTTTGTCTCGCAGGACCAGGAGTTTTTGGAACTCTTTCTTTCTTTTTTTTTTGTCTGAGCCTATCCCCCCCCCCCCCAAAACTGCCTGCTTCCAAGCCTGGAATATATAAGGCAAAAAAAAAAAAAAAAAACTGCCAAGAAACTCACTACCATCTCCTCTACTGTCCCAGAAGCAAAATCTCTAAGAAGTATTAAACCTAAGAAGCAAAACAAAAATATATAAAATGTACATCCATATAGTGAACTTGACTCAACAACAAAAAGTAATGAAGCCGGGGCTGGGTGGGGGCTCGGCGGACAGAGCTCACCCAGTACATGTGAGGCCCTGGGTGGGATCCTCGGCACCACGTTAGAATAAAGGTATTATGTCCAACTACAGCTAAAAAATAAATATTATAAAAGAAATGCAATGAAGCATTGATACATGCTCTATAACTTCCATGAACTTTACAAACATGTTAAATAAATGGAGCCCGTCACAAAAGACGATATATTATATAATTACATTTATATAAAATGTCCAGTGTCCAAAATGGGCAAATTCATAGAGACAAAAAGTAGATTAGGAGCTGGGACTGTAGCTCAGTGACACAGCACCTGTCCAGCACGTGTGAGGCACTGGGCCAGCACCACATAAAAATAAATAAATTAAATAAAGGCATCATATCCATTTGCAACTACAAAAAAATAAAAAAAGTAGATTACTTGTTGCCTAGGGTTTGAGGGTAAGGGGTTGGGAAGTAACTACTAAAGGGTACACAGTTTCTTTAGAGAGGGTGAGAGAATGTTTTAAAATTAGACTGATGATGGATGCTAACTTCTTTTTACCTTTTTTAAATAGGTGAATTGTATGATATAAAAATAATGTCTAATAAAACTGTTTTTGAAATGTGTAGCCAGGTGTGGTAGCCCACACCTGCAATCCCTGCAACTCAGGAAAATGAGGCCAGCCTCAGCAACCTAGCAAGGCACTGTGTCAAAATAAAAATAAAAAGGTTTGTGGATTTAGTTCAGTGGCTAAGCACCCCTGGGTTCAATTCCCAATACCAAAAACAAACAAGCAAAAAAAAAAAAAAGTACAGGCATATTATAAGTATAAATACACGCTGGAGAAGATTTTAATTTTAAGAATATAAATAGTTCTGGGCTGGGGATGTGGCTCAGCGGTAGCGCGCTTGCCTGGCATGCGTGTGGCCCGGGTTCGATCCTTAGCACCACATACCAACAAAGATGTTGTGTCTGCCGAGAACTAAGAAATAAATATTAAAAATTCTCTCTCTCTCTCTCTCTCTTTCTCTCCTCTCTCACTCTCTCTTAAAAAAAAAAAAAGAATATAAATAGTTCTAAAATTGTAATTTAGAAAAGTATACATTTCTATATATTCTTTAAAAATAGAAAATCCAAATAATCAGAGAAAACATGAGTATTCTCACTGACATAGATATAACCACAGATTTCCAGATCAAGAATGAATCTTGGGCTGGGGATACAGCTCAGTTGGTAGAGTGCTTGCCTTG